ATAGCTCATGATTTTTTCTTCTATTATGTAAGGTTTAATTATTTTTTATGGACGATAATTGGTTTATGATGTACGCCTCTTATGATAAAAAGATACTTTGAAAGTAAAAATTCATGTATCTATCTTACATACATTTATGTTGCCTGAGGGAACAGATTATATCTGTAGTACGTAATTAACACTCTTTAAGTTTGATTGATTGCACACTTTTCAAACCCGGTTTTTCATCCTCTTCTCTCTTCTCAAATCCATGGACTTTCTTTTCTTCTGTCGTCATTTTTCCCTCTATTCTCATCCTCCTTTTCTTAGCAGCACAATGATAAACATCAAAATACGATTATTTTAGTGATATATACATGAGAACATTTGCTTATCCAAAAATATCAAATTGGAACAAGTAAACAATGTCCCGAGTACCAGTTAGTTGCCAGAAGAATAAAAATCTGATTAATTAGTTAAAATGTTAGAAAATATTTGTGTTAGACTAGAGGACACTAGAATTGAGAGATGATAACAAGAATATTAAGTTTTACAAGAAAAAATAAATCTTACAATTTTAAACATGAATTTATTTGTAAAATATTAGGATTAAAATTAGATAAATACATCGCATAGTCATTTCACGTGTTCACCTTTTCTTTTCTGGATATTAAATATTAAGAGTTCTGTTATTCGTATCTGTTTTATACATATACTATTTATGTATTACACAGATCTTTACTCTCGTTTATCAGTTTTTTTCATATTATTATCACCAAGAACATACGTTGTTTTTCGTCTACACGAAAATGTCAATCTTATTTTTATTGTATCAAATTCCCTAAACACCCTATATAGTATATTCATTCAATTAACCGATAAATCTAAAATCTATTATCATATATGAAAGAATTATTGCCTCTCTTTGTAAAAGTCAACAAATTTATAATTATGCAAATTCAACACGTACTGTGTTCAAGTCTACGTGTCTGTTAAGAAAAGTGGCAGAAACGGGAAGGAAGTTAGATTTTACACTTGAATTTCTTTTGTTCTTCATTCAAATTCATAACGTTCTTAAGAATTTGTTATAGAATAGTGATCGAAATTAAATAGGAAGTAGAGAGAGAGGGAGAGAGAGAGAAGTTTTCATATTTTTAATGAAAGAATCGTCCGATAGTTAGTTAGTCCATTATATGTCAAATGAAATATTTTGATAGATGAGCTACGTTCAACGAAAACGAACGTTTTTTTTTCCTAACGGATGAATATGTCAGTAAGATTTTGAAATTCGATAATCTAAAGGCATGATCTGCTTTCTAAAAACTGAAATGTTTAATATAAACAATATATCATTAAGTCCCACGAGAATTTCATCTTTATGATTAAAATTGGTTAATTTTGTGCCAAAAATATATATGAGATCATTTTTATGCTAATCACTCAAAAATGAACATTTTTTGACTCTTTAAACAATAATAAAAATTCTTATTCTTCGGCTTGTTTTTTCATTTAAATTTATAATTTATTGTTAATCACATCACTATGAAGTAAATGATGGTGTTAATGAACTCTTAATTTTTAAAACTAATCCCATTTTTGCATGAATGATAAACATTATACACAATAATCTACATTGTTTAGAAAAATTAAAAAAAAATAAATAGAAGACAAATAAAATTATTTTAGTGTTATGATGACCTATGGATGTTATTCACTTATGAATAATAGAGAATAAGTTTTGTGGCAATTGAGAGTAGTGTAGATATATCTATTTATTAAACAATAACCTGTTCATTGCATTATGATCTTTTATTTTGTTTTGAAATGAATTCTGTTCGCGAAAAATTTCGATTTGTGTCTATTTACAAATGATTGATTTTGACTACACAGTGCAACTAAAATCTATCAGATATTCATTTTTCTTTTCTTCTTATTTTTAGCGAAAAAAAAAAAAGGGAAGGGTGTTTTACTTATTTAATTCTCATCATATGAATATTAAAGTACTACTTGACTAGGCATGCATCAATTTCTTCCCTTTTTTCATATATAACGGAAAGATGAGCATAAGAATATTAGATCGACAACGACAATGACTACGCGATATAATGTTTTCTTCTTTAAATAACAAAAAGGTTATCTTTTTCTTTCCTCTTTTTTCTTTGTGACGAGCTTTAAGTATTTTTTTTTTTCATATTGAGCTAGATAACTTTATTTTCTGAAAAATGCTTTTGATATTGATTAAAAATGGGAAAAGAGAGGGAATTATTAATCGAGAAATAGTCTAGTGTTATTGCTATTGAAACGTTCATGAACCACATATGATCAATAGAAATATTTCTTTGAGTAGTTGCGGAGAATTAATTGAAGATCTAAATTGAAAAATTGATATGAATTATTAAAATTTAGTTATATTTTTCTACTATTAATTAATAATATCGGCATAGACTAAAATGTTTTGAATGTCAAATTTTGAAACAATCATATTTAGGAAAAAAGACTTATTAAAATTTCTTTTCGATATAAACGTACAAAATCAAACTGTTGTTAATTGAATATAGCATGATGCAATATTTTTGTTAGATTTTAGTAGTATAAGATTGTAATCAAGGACAAGTCTAACTAAATAGAAAGAAAATGGGAAAACATCGAATTTGTCAACCAATGTTACTTTCTTTCACCCCGTTGTGAAACAGAATACGTACCACCTAGTAAACTAAATAACTGTAAATAAATGTGTTGATGCAATTAAATGTACATGAAAAAAACAGATACTGTAAAAATTCCTATGACAACGGTCTCGAGTGGGACTAAGAAATGTGAAACTCCATAATTACAATTACAGCGCTGCAGCTTTAGATTTCGATGTATTTGAGCTTTAGATTTCGAAAATTTGAGATGTATTTTCAAGATTTTGCAGATAATATTAAGAAAAACGATGTTAAAACGTCTAATTCAGCATTACAATAGAAAATACTGATAAAACACAATGAACAAAAGATTCTCATCTCACAATAAGAGTATCAATATAATCAGGAAACGATAATGTCACCGTACCCATGAATTAGAAATAAAAACAGAAAACTATGCAGATAGATCTACCTATAAGCAATGTGCAATTCCAATATACCCTTAAACTTTGTTATTTATTTTATGACTCTCGTATGTGTTCTGTATTACAGAAGGGACCATAATTTATTATCATCAGAATGCCGAAATATGGATTTTACAATCTGAAAATATGGATTTTACACTCCAGCTAGCAAATGAAAATCTTTTTTCCGCTCTAAGTCAACTAAAAAATCCGAACTTGGTCTTGCTCACTGAGTTGTTACAAAACAACATTTACAGCATTTCAAATGAATGCAACTCCTTTACACTTTTCTGCATGAATTGTTATCCAAACTGCATTCATTCTTTTTGATAGTATACGAGAAGGCTTTATCTGATTCTTGTAATGACATTAGTATTGCTTAAACGGAGACAGGAGAGTAGTGGTAAAGCGACCTTTAGTATACTCAAAAACTATACTTTTGTCACTAAATGTGATGTGATATTTTGAAAAAAATGAGAATAAAATAATGTATAAATCAATGTCTGTAATGGTTTCACATATTAAAATAATTTATCCGCTTGTTCACTCAAAACCAATTGCAGATTTGGACTCGTTATAGTCGATTACTTCGCATGCAACAAACTTTTCGATATATCTGTGACACTTGTTCTAATCGATCCCAGGAGTTTGCAATTTTATATATTCATATTTGATGTAGTATGTAGAATTTGATGAAAAAGTCAGATTGAGATATTCTGTAGTTTTGGTAGAAAGTTCGATTTTACTGCAAATTCTAGTGGAAAGTAAATTCGTCTATCGGATGCTTCCCGACAAAACAGTCTATCATATGTCACCCAATTCGGTTGATAGATTTATCGAACTATAGACATGCGATAAGTCAAGGAAGCGTATCCTCAGACATTACACGAAAACCATTGACAATATGCGACTTATGTTCGATCATTTTGTAATCGTATCAGAAAAATCCTGAAATTAGACATCGACGCACGTCTAGATCAGTAATCAACTACTTATTGTTAATATAGATGCGGAAGAATATCGTTGCAGTGTTATTTTGTAAACAATTGTTGGTTGTATATAATGAGCTAGTTTTGTTTGAAAAAATCTTTGCAACAAAATAAATTGATTAAGCAGACTATTCTAAAACGTGTTTTTTTCCAATTTTAGGCTTAAAAAGTATTTTTTTCCTTGCCAAGAATTGCAGAGCAACAAAGAACTCTCACTAAAGTATTCGCTATCAAAGTTGTAGTCTATGTCATTCTCCATAGAATAAACAGAACGAAATTAAACAAAAAAATTTGAACAATTTAAATTAAAATTCGTTTTAAAATTTTTGTCATTAGAAAAGAAAAATCTGTTTAATACTGGAAAAATACGTTATTTAAAATAGTTTGCTTAATCAATTTATTTTATTACAAAGGTTTTTTCAAACAAAAAAAGCTCATTATATACAACCAACAATTGTTTACAAAATAAAACTGCAACGACATTCATATAGAGGACATTCCCTTAAACTTCTGAATTAATCAGTCTTTGAAATACGTACTGCTGACTGAAATATTGCCAGCATCGTGCACATACTCTTCAAAGGAATCATAACAGTTTAGCTATTCATTTTAATGAGATTATCATGCATAATGTCTGTTTGCTGAATTGTCCGTAAGAGAGATATTGACCAAAATTCATAGTAGAGAGTTCAACTCCTCATTGCTTGAATTTCTAGGAAAACGTTTTACTAAAACAAACCTGTAAAAAATAAAAGTGAAATATTCAAAAATAAACAAAAAGTCCTTTCGGAAGAGTCCTTTTCATTATAAGAGAAAATTTGTTTAATTGAAAGATGATTCTATTCTTTTTCAACGAATGATTTTTGACTAAGTCTAATGTCGATAATCAGTATAAAATAATGTTTGTTCTTGTTTCTATTTAGAATTTGTTATTGTCGATCATGTTCAATCCACCGGAGATCGACTATCATCGTTATTATCGTTCATCACCGTCAAAAGTCATCACTACAAGTGATGATGCACTACGGATATTAACTGATACCGATTCATTGTGGAAATTTTCTTCGTACGATCTGTTATTAAGTATTAATGCTTATATGCCATTTAATGAGACAATGTTAAGTCCGACAAACATTTCATCATCTGCTGTCAATTCATCGTCTTGGCAACCGGCCGAAGATGATGTTAGTAATGCATTATTGTATTTAATCGTTCCCATTTATTCTATCGTCTTCGTTACCGGTACTATTGGAAATATTCTTGTCATATTAACTGTTCTAACAGTTAAACAAATGCGAACAACAACAAACGCACTTGTTCTCCATTTAGCTATAGCTAATCTAGCATTTGTTCTATTATGTATCCCACATACTCTCTACGTTTACGTGGCTCCATCTTATCGGTTCCCAAAAGCTATTTGCAAAGTGACTTATACTATGATGTATTTAAGTGCATATGTTAGCATTTACATTCTAGTACTAATGTCTATCGATCGATTTCTGGGTGTTGTACTAGCCATAAAATCCACACGTTTTCGAACACAGCGAAATGCTCACATTGCCGTAATAATTGTTTGGCTATTTGGAATTATATTTGCATCGCCAAATATGTTTGTCTACGATGTTATCCCCTATGAACAACATGTATTTTGTAATACAAAGACAGATGTACCATTCTTAAATTTAGTACGAAAAATATCGGCCTATTGTTTTGCATTACTTGGTCTCTTTATCCCATTAGCTCTTATAGCTATTCTTTATGGACTAATTATCAATACGTTAAGAAAAAATGCCAAAGGTAAACAAGTACAAAAGGGTAAAAAACGTGTTACAAAAATGGTATCTGCTGTTATTTCGTCGTTTGTTATTTGTTGGTCACCAATGCAAATTTATCTATTGTATACTCAAGTTTACTCACAAACTATCATATCACTTGCCATTATTGCACAAACACTTGTCTACGTCTCATCATGTATTAATCCGATATTGTATGCATTTCTATCAGAACCATTTCGTAAAACATTTCAACAATTTTTAACATGTTCAAAAATCAAATTGATTACCACTGACGCTGTTATAGCTGATAATCCGTCAAAACATACCAGTAGAACAGACGGTTCAGTTATTAAACTGCAACTTGAATCAAAAAATAATACTAATTTACTATCGAAAAAGAGTCATAGACGTATTCTGAACAAAAGCGGTGAAAACGTAAAAATTAATTTAAACAATATTGATGGTAATACTTCAATGACATATGAGGTTACGAAATATGAAAGATTACCAACAAATAGTATAACGTGAATAATACGTCACCAGGAAGATTTTATAGTCATTTTTTCTCTGCTTGAATGAGTTTGGTGCTTGCTTACTGTTATCTGATGAGTTTCTCCTTTTCTAAATAGAAACATTATTTTTGGTTGCAAAACTGACTATTTATGAGAAACGTTAAGCTCGCTTCTTCTCCATGACTATTTTTCATAAACTTATATACAGTGGAGTGGGGGAAATTGTCACGAAATTCTATCACCTTATAATATTTTAATCTACGGGACAATTTGGCAAAGAAAGTGTACACTGTTCGGACAATTCAGCAATTACGTGTGTGTTTGAATGAGAGAAGTAAAATGCAATTATCTTAATGATAATTAGTGATAAGATCAATGGTAGGCAAGTCTAAGTCCAGACTTGAAGCTTTTTTTGACGGACTTGCACTTGAGCATTTTTTTGTCAACTCCGTTTGAAGTCGTCATCAACATCACTCCGCTGCTCTCGAGCAGGCGACCACGATCTTCTTCCATTTGTGCACACTCTTAGCATCATCTACAATGTCCATCACCTTCCAATACTTCTTATCGCAAATACTATTTTGAGTAAGTTCAACACATAGCCAAGATAGTCCTGTGGCTGCTTCCCTGGATTGTTTGTACCATGCATTGGTTGGTATAAGCCAAATTTTCTCAAGGGCTCATCATCTGAGCGTCTACAAATGTGTCGTACCCATTTGAGCTGTCTTTTAACAATTATCTTTATCAGCATGTCCACACCTAGTCTGTTGTATATTTGAAATATGATCTCTACACCTAATCCCAAGCATTATTCTGTAACGGCTACTTGCAAACTATTTAATTTGTACTTCATCTTTTCCGTTATTAACCATGTTTCACTGAGGAGTTAAGCTCTATTACATTCAGCAACGGAATGAATACAATCTGATACTTAAATTATTATGTTTTACTTTATCAAACATACATCAATGTATATCTGGTATTGGTAAATCTATTATTTCACCGTCACTAATTACACAAAAATCGAAGAATTGATTGATACTACTAGTAGCATTAAAATGCAAGCAATCAAATTTTTGCTTGATCCTTTTCTAAAACAAGAAAGGAACATCAATGAAATCTTCATTCTCCATACCTACACAAAACCTTTAGTATTTCGCGGAGAAATTTTTATTCACTGTCAGATGTGTTGTATCGAAAAACTTATCTGAAAACCACATTGATGAACACGTATTAATTAGAAATGGTTGATAAACTGGGATCACTATATTTTCCATTGTTGCACAACACGATTTGAATTCAACTCATTGATCAATCTTACATTTGATCTGAAACGTTTTCGACAGAGTGACCATGGGACGGTTCTCGATTCAACTGGCGCTTCAGCTTGAGCACTAAACTGTCGAAAACATATGTACGAATACAACGTCGGTCAAAAGAATAAAAACAATTGGGTCGAAAAACTCTCCAAAACTATACTACAGTTATCATTTCTAACAGATGATGATTGTGTCATTTTCGATGTCTTATGATACAATTTGATCAATAATCAAACATTTCAAGTACGAATACTCTCGTTTTCCTAGTATCCTCTTCAAAATGGGAGTCAAGCGAGACCTTGATTTTCAGTGGTTCGAGTGTGGTATTCCTATTGCCTCAGGACTGGTTCCTAGCGGCTTCAGGTAGTCTTGAAGTCGGATTGAACATGCTTAATCGACCATCTGAACCTAATGAGAACGTTTATTTTTGGAAAAGAATTTAAAAACAAAGTGAAAACCGAGTTGATGAAAATTCCGATCCTTGGTGTATTTATACTTAATATTAGAAAATTCACAATTCATTCGAAAAACATCAAAACGGTGAAAACTGCAGGATATGATTAATTTTATTCACTTCATTTATTATTGAATGATTGAAAGATGAAGCGTCATCGCTGATCGTTCATCGCATATGAATAGTGGCAGATCCTCGTTGCCGCCCAACACTAATCCTTCATAACACACATACCAACGGACTTGTACAGTATGAGTCGAGTACTGATGAGAGCGTTTCGTTATATAGAGAATTTTTCTTTACTTTTATTTTAATCTGAATGAGATGGTTTTAGTGAGCCTTGATTTCTGCAGCAGCAGCTAAATCAAAGTTTCACTCATCTAAATGTTACCACAATAACTAACTTATTAGTTTGAGATTGATTTTCGATTGTATAACTCACAAGGAAAGACTATGTTAGGAATTTAAAAATAATAATGCTTCTACGTCGTTTGCAAATTGGTATAATTCTTCTTTTTCTTTTGTTTATCTGTTTACAATTCATAGTTGGCTCTTAGCATTCTCTCTTCCACTTCGCTGTTATTTTTATTTACTGTAAAATCGATCAAAATTACCTCAAAACTTCAAGCTATACTCTGTTTTATTAATACCTATATCATGGAGATCAAGACAAGCTTTAGAAAACAATCGAAAATACTGTAATTTTTGAAAGATTTTCCGGAAACCTGGTGTATTAAATGAATACTGTTTTACATGATATTAATTACAGAACCAAATTTAATAGATAAAACAGAATATCTTTTAATTGATTTTGATTGAGTTATGAATGTTTTCATTTTCGGTGAGAATAGCCAAAAATGAGTTACTTCATCTAATATAGATTTTTGAATTTTTCTGGAAAACAGACATTGCTACAAGACTCAGCGTGGTCGATAACCTATATTCGAGTTATCTCTCTGAGGTTCCAAGAGAGGTTATCTCACACTAGATCTGTCGATTCCAGAAAAGCCAATGTCTCTTCTAAACGACGAAAAATGTAAGAAGCCGCTCGATTTTTATTTTGAAGAGGAAAAATTAGGCTATGTCTTCATGAAAGAAAACGAAAATATTTGTATAAAAATTTTTGAAACACTAACCTGATTTTCTAAAGATCCTCTGAAAAATCAACCTTCACGAAAGTATCAACCTACAACACAAATTACATTCTAATTGAGTAGAAGAGTATTTCTGACTGAGGTACAACTTCATATTAGAGTAATATAGTAGTGAGACGCTGGAAGATGCTCCTAATGATTGATCGATGATTGTCTGCATCAAATCGTCGAATTTTCTGTACAAATTCTCTGAAATAGAAAGCAGTTTGTTTCGAATATATGCAGATCATAATATTATTCGTATAAAAATCATCAAATCATCTATTTATAAGTAAAACCAACATACATGATACATTGATACATCTTCAACCTAGACACTATCAGTTACCAATTGGTAAAAAGACTTTTCAATTCAGACTCATAATTTCGCAAGAATATTTTTAGTTTAGTTCTTGTCTGGACTGAAATTTTTCATGGCTTTTAATGGTGATATTCGTGATCAGTATAGTCTACTTCATATTATCATATTACGTTGAAAAAAAATTAAAAACAAAAGTTATCGAAAAATCTTTAGTGGCCTGAGGCGTCAGAAACCTCATGAAAAGAGTTTGAGAAATGATCCTGGTCATCGCTTGACATGATTCCAATGTAAAATGCCCAAAATTTTATTTTCGAATTTAGGAGAAATAAAACAGAGACGGTTAAAGAATATTGATATTAAAAATTTATTATCGAAATGTATAAAACGGAATGTCTATATAAAGAATAAGATGAAAGAAGTTGCATCGATTGTGTTGACAAGCGAAGTAATCATTTTCTTTTCTGTTTTTTTATTTCTCCTAAAGTTTCTTTTTATATAATCCTAAAGTCTTTCATAATTTCATATCTAAGCATCAGTTTTTCTTGACTGAGATCTCAGTTTTGTATTTTAATTAAGCTTTTGTTAACTATTGATCCATAGAATTCGTCTTTGTAGAACTGAGATGTCAATACGTAAAGAATATAATCGACAATTTGTGGTTTATATGAAAGGAAATAAGCACTAGTTTAAAAAATATCGATATTATTTGCGATCTTCTCACCTCAAACCTGCCCAAAGCATCAAACCTAATGAAATCTCATTTCCTAGTCATCGGTTCTTATATAAGAATCTTACTCAATTCTTATATAAGATCTTCCACGAAAGTGGCAAGAATCCTGCTGAATCTTATAAGAATCTCACAAAAATTCATAAGAAATTGGTAAGAGTCAGCAAAACTCCTATGTTATTCTTATCAGATTCTTATAAAATTCTTGTAAGATTCTTATAAGATTTCACAAATTTTTTTTGTGTAGGGTTATTAGATGACATACGTATTTGAGCACCCAGTTCTTCACATATTTTTCAATTAATTGTTTTTGTTTTTGTAATATTTCTTTTCCTAATTCGGTTAATGTATAAGTTTTTGGATGATCATCATTTTTCTTAAGTTTTTCAATGCATTTTGTTCAATGTGTATCCAAAATCGTGGATCAAAATCCTTCTAGAAACAAGATTTACATAGAATATTTTAGAAAAATTGCCTTCAATCATCGAAAACATTTTTCTTTTAAAATATTTTATGTATAAAAAATTTTCTGTGAATTTCAGTTTGAATTCCGGAACAATTATATACTTTACGCTAAATTATGACGATCTTTCTTTATCAAGGTACTGATTTTTAAACTCTGACTAAATATTACTTGTCATTTCCTCATCCAAACCACACTCAATTCTACTAATAGTTGACTTATCAAATCATACATAATTTTTCCACTTAGGCGTGGAATGTAAGAACTATATCTGTGAATATTTTGAATATAATCACGACCAATTTCGCTAGGTGAAATATCATAATCAGTCTCAACTCTATGAATACTTTGAATATCAGGTTCATAATGTCTCATTGTAACTTAATCAAAGTTAAAGCTTTGATCGGAAGCTACTTCATTTGTTTGTGTTAACAAAAATGTCAGCAAATGTTCAAACTTATTTAGGTTCGTCAAAACTATGTAAAACATCCTTATAAAAAACTTCATCATCAATGTTTACATTTCTCTTTAAAAACAAATAAGATAAAAAATATGAAAAGCTTTCTTGATTAAAATCACCATAGCTTCTGATATCTAATGTTATTCTATAAAGAGAAACAAAATAATTAATATCAAATGTTTTATCAGTTCAATCCCTAAACGAATTTTTAATACTAAACAATCGATTGCAGAAAGAACATCAATTTTCGAATCGACTTTCCAAAAACTTAGTGGCCAACTTTTGAAATTGGCATTCGCTATAAGACTTTATTGAAAAAAAAAGAATTTTCTAATCTTCTAATAATCAATCGGAACAGTCGATAGCAACTCAATTTCTTTCATTTGATTTATTAAATTATAATAATTCGAAACTCTTGGGTTGGAACACGTTTAAAGTTAGGGTTTTGAAGTTAAACTGAATTATATTAGAGAAAAGTGGTTCTTTCTTTTCAATTAGATGATAAGGAATAATTACTCTTCTATATAATTTAAGGGTGAGTCTATTGCCACTTACAGAAGTATCAGGAAGAAGTTACTGACTGAAAGTGTCAATACGGAGCTGTTGATGCTATCTAACCAAAGCTCATTTGAGCCATGTATTGACACTTTCTCCTCCACTTTAGGTAAGACATAGCAATACACCGATATTTCCGCGAACAGGATGTCGATTGTTCCGCCAATTTTTTGAAACAAGCTCTGTGTATTATCGTAACACTCACAAAATGCAATACGGTTTTATTTGCGAGCATACTTTGTATTATATGTTTCGTTTCTGTTCGATTTGAGGTCGTGTTACTAATTTCATACTGCTTCATGCAATTACTTTTAGAATGAAACTACTTTTCGTACTCATTCTCACACTACTTACTCCCCCCTCGACTCACTCACAAACAGCATAAAGAGTCGTGTCGCGAGGAATAGCCGCTTATTGACACTTTCTATTGAAAGTAGCAATAGCTTCTAGTTGACATTTTTAGAAAGTGGCATGAGCTGCTTAATGGCACTTCCGAACATGGCAATAGCCATTCCGATAATTTAATTGAACTATCACTCTTCATGCCTGATTCTGTTACTGAATATTGAGATAATCCAACTGAAATCCCATTGTGTTGGTCTTGGTTGAAATGATAATCTTTAAAATCATCCGATAAAACTTTTTCGTTGATCAAAATAGTCCTGGTGGTTTTCAGGCCGGTGACAATGATTCATTACTAACAGTTATGCATAACAAACAAGGATCAAGCAAACCTGGTGTGCTTCGGGAAAGTAACAATTCATTGTCAAATAATAATTTCATCTGGATATCTGGTACTACAAAACCGGACCCACAGAATAGTACACCGAAAACAGTTTATGACAAACCTTTCTTAGGAGAATTGTTTAAAGCTTTCAAAGAAGGATCATCATCCCTGAAACGTCAATTCGTTCCTTGTGAAATGAACCATAATGCATCAGTTTCACAGGAAATCTTTGGATTTCAACATTCAAAGAAACAACATACATACAATTCATCTTCCTCTAGAGATGAAGATGAACCGGTTTCATAATGTTTAATATTATGCCTGTATTCTTCTTTTTTCAAGATGTTTGTTATATGTTCGTATAACATTCGGGCATATGTACAGTGCAGAAAAGAGCCTTACTCCGGGCATGGGTTGAAAATACCCGACCGGACGCACTGCTTTTACAAGAATCGTATATGACCAAGATAGAACATGCGGAAATATTTAAAAGAGCCTTCAGCGATTTTAATGTTATATGTAGTCTTGGTAAGTGGGCCGCAAGTGCACCTGCGGCCCACTAGAGTAGCACCCAGGTGGTACTCTAGTCATGATAAACAAAAAGCATCAAATCATTGACTGAGGAATGGACACCATTGAACGTGTGGCTTTCGTGAAAATCAGTATTAATACTATACCGATTACACTTGCCAGTGTTTATGTTCCATCCAGTGATCCAGTAGCCAGAAAAACGTTTTTTACCGATCTCCGATTGTTTATCCCGTCTAGTAAATGGTTACTAGTAGGTGGAGATTCCAACTGTATACCAGATGAAATCTGGGATCGATACCGACCAACAGCTGTCACTTGTACGTCATCATACCCTTCACCAGTCCAGGAACTAATTAAATCATTCCAACTCTATGAATTTTATTTTTTCGGCGTTATCTTTTGGCGTTTCCTTTTCATGCGAAAATCTCTCTCCTGTCTCCGTTTAAGCAATACTAATGTCATTACAAGAATCAGATAGAGCCTTCTCGTATACTATCAAAAAGTGTCTGTGAATGCAGTTTGGATAACAATTCATGCAGAAAAGTGTAAAGGAGTTGCATTCATTTGAAATGCTGTAAATGTTGTTTTGTAACAACTCAGTGAGCAAGACCAAGTTCGGATTTAGTTGACTTAGAGCAGAAAAATTACTGTTCAAGTCCACACACTAGAGGGCAATGAAAATGTTCTAGTCTATATAATATAACCATAGAATGATAAAAACTTAAAGCGCGGGAAAAGGTTTCTCCAAGAACATGGCACAACATGATTTGGAGCGCAAATCATCTAGAATTACTAGAAATGCTTCGCCCGTCCCCTGAGAACCTGTTTAAACTTCCAAAACTTCAGAAGGATATTTTTTACAATTTTTCATCACTATCCTAAACAACGACACACAATGAGCAACCATGTGGACATTAGGTGGAAAAACGAAAGTACGCTTTTTGGAGATTCAAATAGCAGGTCATATATTTTAGCTTACGCTCTATTTAAATGGCATAGAAAGCTTTTTCTCAAGTGCCTTAGTGGAAAAATCGCCGAGGAAATTTTTGTTGTAAAATAGAGCGATGAAGATAAAAAAATATTTTTCGCCAAATCGAATTCGATAATTATAAAAATCACGCCTAATTTGATACTAGAACTCTCACTCTATCCATTAATAAAAAATTATTTTTGTAGATTTGGAACTGAGAAAATAATGTTTCTTTCTACGCTAAGTGTTTTCCAAAGAGTGCACCTCAGTATAGTCGGGTTCCCGTCTTTTCCCAAGATCCAAACTGAATGCAATTTTCGCAGAATATTGCTCTACTAGTGATATAGCTATACAGATAGCAAAAGCAGCAAAAATGTTCAGGACTGAATTGTAGATTTCTGAAAAACCATTGGTTTCAGGAGTAAAGTCTTTTTTTCTCTTTCCAGAAGCTACTGTATTGAGAAGTAATAACATATTCGAAATCAGCGCACAAAACTGCGTCGAATGATATGTCATTTGTATGTTTTTATGCGCAAAAAATCGTTCGATTTAATGAAATGACAGATTTGTGGGATTCCCGCCGGAATTTTTGGCTAGGCACGTGAGCATGTGCCATAAAAGTAATGCAAAAACCTTTAAACACTATGTTTATTGGTTTTCGTATGTACTCTTTCCAATGGTGTGGTTTACAAGTTCAAAAGTGTTTTTACCAGGGTTTTCTAAACATCCGGTCTCTGAAAAACCTGAAAGTGTTTTTGGGCTTTGTAAATCACACCATTGGAAAGAGTATATATGAAAGCCTATAAAAATAGTATTTAGAGGCTTTCGTATCACTTTTATGGCACATGTCCACGTGCCTAGTCAAAATTGAACTATCAACAAACTGATCAAAAATATGTGAATGTAAAGCCATTCAGGAAATATGGAACTTAGATATTGGTTTTCGTATTCCCGAGGGCGTGGGTGTCTGTGTTAGATGTCCTTTACGCGTTACAAATGACTTTTTTCTGCCAGGCACATATTATGGTGTAACTATGTCATTTGCTGAAACTACGTTTCTAAAAATTGCAGAGATCAAGGTACAAAAAGGACTCTGAAGTGCATCCCAAGGTTTTTTAATATACTTCAAGTTGTAGAGTTCGGGTTTGTTTTATTTTAAACTAGACACCTAACTACATGGACTAACCGACGCCGATTTTTCAATTAAACCTTTATTGGTTTTCCAGGCAACCAACAACCTCCAAAAGCCGAAAAAGCTTTCCGGATTTTCAAAAACTCCTCAGTTTGACAAAAAACCAAGACCTAATTCAAAAAACGACGCCCGTCAGTCCATGTAGTTTCTTTTCCTCTTTTAAACAAAAAAAGAATGAACTTTCTACGACAAACCGCTATATTTATTGTGTTTTGATAGTTTAAGTTTCAGAATGATATAATGGGAATTTATATTCTCGATTTCGTTCTGGTTCAAGATTAAAGCTTAAAACAACCGCTATTAAAAATCTTAGGACGCACTTCAAGTGTAATTGTTTTATAGAGAAAAAGGTGTGTTAAAAACTGGATGAAATACTCGATTTTAGGAAAAACTATTATTTAAGGACTCGGTTTTTCGAGGCTCTTAGAAAACTTGCTCAAAATCTCCGAAAAACCAGTTTTGTAACCAAACGCAGTACAGATTCTGGAAGTAGACACTTCAGGTATCTTTCCATGTGCGTATCTCAAAACCGATTTTTTGATCGAAAATCACCATTTCTATCTTCATCGCTCTATTTTACAACAAAAATTTCCTCGGCGATTTTTCCACTAAGGCACTTGAGAAAAAGCTTTCTATGCCATTTAAATAGAGCGTAAGCTAAAATATATGACCTGCTATTTGAATCTCCAAAAAGCGTACTTTCGTTTTTCCACCTAATGTCCACATGGTTGCTCATTGTGTGTCGTTGTTTAGGATAGTGATGAAAAATTGTAAAAAATATCCTTCTGAAGTTTTGGAAGTTTAAACAGGTTCTCAGGGGACGGGCGAAGCATTTCTAGTAATTCTAGATGATTTGCGCTCCAAATCATGTTGTGCCATGTTCTTGGAGAAACCTTTTCCCGCGCTTTAAGTTTTTATCATTCTATGGTTATATTATATAGACTAGAACATTTTCATTGCCCTCTAGTGTGTGGACTCTGAACAGTAGTAGCAGTAGTTACACAAGAAAAGAAAAAAATAAAATAAAACCAGCTACTATCGTAAACGTGTATAAACAAAAAAAAAGGTCACTGAAACAACAAAAAACAAACGTCGAAATTTTCATGTTTATATATGACACAATTTACTTTTATCAATCTATATTTACAGATTCAACATACACGCACACATGTTCTATCAGTTTCAAAAAATCGGTGACAAAAACAATAACAACAGCAAAAAAAAATGTTCATAAAACATTCTCTTGAAATTTGGCGTGGAAATGAAAGACATTCGTTTTATTTATGAAGTAAAGTTGTCTCACTTTTTTGTTATGATTCACTTTTAATTGGACGACAACTCCTTTTGTTTCGAATAACTGCTTTACTTTTGAGTTTTGATGTTGATTTTACCTCCATTATTAATAGATAACAGCCCTCCAACTCTTTGAACGGCAGTTGTCGTAGCGGATGATGCCGATGTCATCGAAGAAGAACTGGATGCATAAGCATTAAAGTCAAAACGACGAGCGCGACGAGAACCATTTGCATATAAATGAGTACCCATATGTACTTTTAAATTCCCTTTAGTTGTAAATGCTCGGTTGCAAACCTATGAACAGAAGAAAATGTTAAATCAATTGCTGATAACCCTCTTCTGAATGAATTCACTACTTCCTGAACGATCTATATGATCTTAATTAAGTTTAGACATCAATACCAGTCACTTTGAAACTATTATAGTAAAAAAACTGTTTTTTTTTTTACTACTGGACAATTCTTTTGTAACTGATTAGCAACAAACGTGCGTAGAATAACTATTTAGCATCCGATGTAAATTGGCTTTCTACTTACATGACATTTGAATGGTTTTTCTCCCGTATGTGTTCTCATATGAATTTGAAGTGCGGATGCTGATGAAAAATTTTTTGTACAAACACTGCATATATGTTGTAGAGATGATAGACGTCGACTAGACGACCCTGAGGAATAATTCTGTTCACCTCCATCATTTGTTGGACTTGTTTCCGTTCCTCTTGACGATGAACGAGATCGTGATCTCATAGATGAATGACCGGTCGAGTCTGCTGGTGAAACAGGACTTGAAAGAGACGGTGCACTAGTAATATTCAATGCCAACGATGAATTATCAGAGTCAATTTGCATTTTATAATCGTCGACAACATTAATTTCATTTTCACTGTCACCTAATTTATTCGTAGATATACCTGAAGAAACAAATATGAATAATTTACTCTGTATCATTTGTTTGGTTTTAATACTTGTTTAACTTACTGTTATTATTGTTTGCGTCTATCATTGTAGACTGAAATTGTTGACCGTAAGTTGATGGATCTGCACCTCCCATAGCGGCAAAAAACGGAAATGTTGCAGCGGCGTTTAACCCATTTAATATGCCCAATTGTGACAGTGTCATTCGACTTGCTGCTGGATAAAAACTAGGCGCAAGTAAGGAAAATGGATGTGGATAAGTCAATGAATTTGTGGTGTATGCTGCGGCTGCAGCTGAGGCCATTGCTGCAATCGAATTCGACAATGTTGTAGCTGTTGTCTCTGATGAAGACAACTGTGTGGTTTGTGTGTTGATAGTCGATACTGATGGCGAAACATGTTGAGAAGTTGATTCAGTCACACTGGATGGTTCATCATGCTAAATTGAGAAAAAGGTAATGTTACCTTTTGGTAACATTAGGACTTTATGTCGAATCTTAACATACCGAATTATGTGATATCGATGTTTGGGATGATTCATTCAAATCTTCTCCACCACTTATTTCGTTTAATCTGTCATGTCCGTTTTCCATTAGTTTCATTGCGGCTTCAACTTTAGCGGGATTCGATTCATCTAAAGATTTTTTATTCAATATTTCAAGAACAAAAGTTTACGAAGAAACTTACTTAAATGGACTTTTAAATGTTGTTGAAATTGAACATCATTTGGATATTGTTTTTGACATATAGGACATGTTTCAAAGTTCGATTTTATTGTTGGTGATGGCACTGTACCGGTTAATCGATGAACATTCATATGAGTTTTCAAATTTCCTAAAATATTCAACACTGTAGATAACTAACAACAAAAGTAGAGATAATCGAACCTTTAGTCGAAAATGCACGTGCACATATTTTACATCGAAATGGACGTTCACCCTGAAATAAATTTGAAATAAATTTTGAAATGTGATATGTGTGCAAAGAATTCCTTTTTTTAATTTTATACGCACCGTATGCGTTCTATAATGCATTTTTAATGCACTTTGACAGCTTAAAGTTCTTTTACAAACAACGCATTCATTTGGATCTGTTTTATTTGTGGTACGTTCTAGTTGATCAATCATATCTTTTAACTACAGAATAAAAAAAACACATTGAAATCGAGATGTTGTTGCCCGCTCGTTTACAGCTCGAACAATTGGGAAGCAACCCTTTGCCTGAATCAGACTTTTGATGCGTAAACGGAAAGGCTGAAATGTGGCCTTCACACTCATCAGGAAAATGGTACTTCTAGAGGTATGCTGATGTCCTCATGCGATTTATCCTTTTCTTACTTTGGCCATATTTGGATCTTCTGGCTCTCCTTCTCTTGATTCCATTTGAAATTGAGCAAAATTAATTACTGAATTATTCGATAAAGTCCCTGTGCCTGTTGACGGTGTTGTAATGGGAAGCTCTTGTTCATCTTGATCTTCATCATCATCATCTTCTTCATTCTCAACAGGTATATTGGGTAAAACGGGCTCAGTTTTAGGCGTAGATAAATTTAACGGTGTAGATGGTATATCATCATCTTGCTTCAGTTTTGCATTTTCTTTCATATTATTGGGAGAGGACAGTGGTATTTGTTTTTTGGCATGTTTTCGTTCTGATCTTAAACAGTGTCGTTCAAAATGAACTTTTAAATTTGCACGTGTGGTAAAACGATGATCGCACAACGTACAAGGAAACGGTTTTTCTCCTAAAATATTAAGAGACAATTTTAAAAATCGATCTAAATAAATAAATCGAACACCCTTGATATTTCAAAATTTTAACATAGATCTCTATAGACGCTTTATTATCTGAATTTATCATAGAATTAGTTTGAGCATACAAGAAATCTTTTGTGTAAAATTTTAACTTACATTTAAAATAGTATTCTGTTTGATGAACAACAATATCTCTTACTGCGCATGTAGCGAAAAATCTATGTGTTGAAACGTCTTGAACATTTGAATCCAAGTCTTTTCAATTAAATGTTTTGATTAAAATATTCAACTTTTTACCTGTATGTGATCTATAATGGATTTTTAATTGACTAATACTCTGAAATCCTTTTCCACAGTATGTGCATTTACGACGGTATAAATTCGATGTTTGATCATTGGCCGCATATAAATTTTCTAGATAAAGAAAATAAATATAATAGTCAATCTTCTTTACTAAGATTTTCTGTTATTTATACCTTTTAAAAGTAAACTTGTTTTAAAATTTTGATCATTCTCTGAATTATTACTTAATCTAATATCTTTTTCATTCTCATTCTCTTCATCAAAATTAGTCTCATTCTCTAATAAACTTTTTCTAGATTTTTTACTGCTATTCGGTTGTTGTTGTTGATAAGATTGTAGTTGCATTTGAAATTGTTTAATCATAATCATTTGTAAATGTTGTTGTTCTTGAATTGCTTGTAGAGCGATTTGTAATTGATCTAAATCTGGAATGATTTCCAATGGTTTTGCTATCGATTCACTTTTTTCTGACATACACTCATCATATGTTTCATCATAAACATTAACATCTTCCTCTAGATCTTCCTCATCAATACACGTTGGATAAAATTTTAAATTTTCATTTTTCGTTGACTCATCAACATTATTAATTGTTGGATGCAAATTAGCATGATTTAAGTTCAAAGGAGGAGAAGATGTACCATTATTCTCATTTTTACCGTTTGATGATTGATCGTCATCGTTCGACATTCTAGAATAGAACACAATAGTCGTTTAAATATGGCAGTCCCGATTTTTGAAACACATTCATGTACGTTAGATAGAAAAAATCAGTGACTCCTTGCATAGTTTAGAGTCGAAGCCGTGTAATATTTAAACAATATAATGTAAAGTCGTTCACATTACAATCCTAAACATTATTTGTCTGTTCAAAATTATCTTTTTTTTTTTATTATATTGAATTAAATTACAAAACGTGTAGACACAAAAGAATTGTAAGCCATAATAAGATTAGAGTAAAAAAATAACTATTACTAAAGTCGTATGAAACATAAGATAGTTCAGTCTATTCTAGACGTTTTCTATTTGACCATTGTGTAGATAAATATGAAATATCAATTCATCTCGATTATTGTAATCATCAACGATATTATCATTTTTCTTTTACTCTCGAATTAATATATTTAACTGTTCTTACTTTAAATAAAATGGTTAATATCTGGTTGGTATCTTAAACTATAAGTTATAGTGAACGAACACAGTTAACCACATTTGTCATACTTTTCTATACTCGTTTCCATGATTCAACTATTATACACTGAGAAGAAGAAGAAAAAAAGTCATCGTTGTTAAATTATTTAATACGTACTCTGTGTGTCCGATAGAAATCTTTATTTGTTTGTATAATAATAATGTCTCACATTGAATTATTAAAATAAAAATAAGACTCTATTACTTCTTATTTTTTTTATCTTTTTAAAATATAAATGAAAAAGTAACTAGTAAGAAATCATACTGTCTTTTCTTCTTTATTTTTCTTATTACATGGTCCTAACACACGCACACCACACACGGTCAAATAAAATGAAAAAAAAAAAAAAAAAAAATGAAATAAAGTATATATAGTAGGAGGAGAGATATGTTTCTTGTTCTTAGTTATAGAGTTATATGTATATATTTATATCTATAAAATAAAGCCAAACAATCGTTTTTGTTTCAAATAAAAAAAACTTACAAACTCTGAAGTTTGTTTTCGATTAAAATATATCTTTCTATATAGAAATGTGTTGTAATCAATCGTATATAGTATATAGAGAGACAAGGAAAAAAAAAAAAAGAAGAAAAAAGGAAAAAGAAAAAAATTAATCAACATATAAAATAGATAATATGCATTCTAATATCTGTAATACATTTCATTCTATAAATATATAGTATTATATATTACTTCGATATATGTTCTAAAAACATACAATAGGGACAAAAAAGAATAAAGGAAAAGAGAGAAGAAAAAGGAAAAAAAGAATAAAGTTCTAAATTAAATAAATCTGGAAAACATATAGCTCTAGACAATGTTAACATATAATAAAGAAAAGAAGAGAAGAGAGAAGAAGAATTATGAATTATTGTTTTAATAATAACACTGAGAAGAATTATTTTAGTTAATTAAATATGACATTAATAACGTCTTCTAAAAAGAGCGAGCGAGAGAGAGAGAGAGAGAGAGAGAGAGAGAAAGAGAGAAAGAGAAAGAGAAATAAAAACGTTCAAGAAGAGAAAATGGTAATTATAATTATACTTTTTTGTATATATTGATAAGATATAAGAAGATACTTAACAAATATATTTCAAATAGAATAGTGAACTAAAAGTTTATCTCCAGAGAATTGTATTTTAACACGTAAAATTCTAAAAGTTTTATGACTCTATTCAACATTAAAATCGAAATATAATTGTTTGATTTTTTTTTTTTTTATCAATTTTTAATGTGTCATTTTGAAGGATAACGTTTTGATTAAAAGTTTAGTTAGATGATATTTTGTATTAGCAAATAAATTAGTTATGATGCTGATAGAGAGAGAGAGAGAGAGAGAGAAACAAATGAAAGTGCAGACATCAGTAATCATTGATCACCAATATAATATTCTTTTTTCTCTTCTTCTATTAACATTTTTTCTATGATGATGATGATGATGATGATGGTGATGATGATGATGATGATGATGATCATTTTGTTATATTGAAACCACGTCTACTTTTTTTTTTTATATCTTTATCTTTATATACATTAATGGCAAATAATATATATAAAATAAAATAAAAGATATTTATACAGATTTATTAAAACATTTGCTACAGCAAAAAAAAACAACGAAGAAAGGGAGGAAGATTGAAATATATAGATCATCATCGCGAATAAAAACTTAAATTTATGAAAAGCAAATATATATATATATATATATATATGTGTGTGTGTGTGTGTGTGTATATGTGTGCATTGTTGCTTTAGACGATGGAAGAGAAAGACATTTTATTATTATTGTTATTAATATTCAACTATTGTGGATGACATTTATATTCTCACATTAATAATATTTCGTACAAATATAGAGAAAGAGAAAATGACAATATTACAACAAATTAGAAAAGATTTATAGTATAAAGTAGTTGTTGGGTAGTGTGTTGATCAAATATTATTTTTTTTCAGTATAAACACATAGATGGATAAGAGAGTGTTTTCTAACAGCTTAAAGAAGTAGATGGCAACGATGTATAGATGAATATTAAGTAAAGTTTGCTTTATTAGCGGAAAAAATGTTAAAATACAAGAGACAACGATGTTCTCATTAAAGATATGTAAAAAAAAAAAACTTGTTTCTACTTTTGTCTTCCATTGGTCTATGAACAATAGCATTTGTTCTCATAATATATTTTTGCTAGTAACCATATTTTGTAGAAGATGCAGAAAGAGATGTTGTGCTACGTAATGACAGATTATAAGATAGCCTCAAAAATTAGACCTTTAGGTACAACGAACTACAAAAATCAAATATTTTTGATATTTATTATTATTTTTAGTTTGATCGATTAAACGCAAAGAAAGCTTTGTTCATCTTTTCTTTTTCTAACCGCTACCATTGATGTATATTATACGTGGTTATTAAAAAAAAACGAATAAAAAGTATTGGTGAAATATTGACAATGTATTAATAAAAAAGAGACAGTGTTATAAGACACGTTAAGCATTTAACAACGATATTTCTTTCTGCATGCTTGCAATATTTATCTATAATGAGGCTAATAATAATCTTTTTTTAAGAGATGAAGAAAACAAAAGAAAAATATTTTTTTTTGGATTATAAAGGAAAAATAGTTTGTCTTTTCAAAATTTTTAATATGGATTAAAACTGTATATAATTCGTGTTTGAATAATAGAATTTTTTTTGTATCAAATTACCACTTTACTTCGACAGTTGCTCATAATATGGAGAACCAAGCGTTCGTTCTCTTTAGAAGAATAGAAGTTCTAAATAGCGTAGAATCATAATAAAATCTTGACAGACTAGAAAAGTCAACAAGAGATTAGAACAACAGAGATTATGGAAGAAGAATGAAAGCTATCCTGCCTTGCGACAACTGTTACTAATATAGAGCATTGACAGATCACACTTGACAATTTTGAGTAGCCCAACATCGGCATTATAAACTAATTTCCTGAAAAGCTACTGGCTACCCCAGCGACCAGCATACTTGAACATTACAAAGTAGACGTATGCTATCGGATGGATGATCTGAGATACATGAAAATAAGTAACTGGTCACAGGTTATTATATAATCCGAAGACATCAAAATTCATTGCATAACCTTTATTTTAGTCAATATCTTGTTCAATGTTATATGAAATAAAGACATGGTAACAAAAACTGTTACATACTCAATTTTATAAAGACGTTAGACTGGTTGAATGAGAAGAGAACAAGAGAAGAGTCTACTAACGACTATACTTGAGAAAATAACAAATAAAAGAGTAAAATATTACATATGACTTATGTTAAGGTTGAGCTGGAAATATCTTGCTATACTATAATGTTTGAAAACGCTGAAAACGTGGTGCGTTTACTATTATATCCGGTAGTTTATTCCACTCTTTTATTGTTCTTACTAAATATGATCTAGCGCATGAGTCAATGTGACAGAATGGATTTTGAAATAAGTGACTATTATGTTGAGAACACCTACTTGTTTCAACTTTAAATAGTTAAAATCTAGAGAGAGTTGTTGATTTTCACCTAATTTTTAGGAATATATATTCTGTAAAATTCTTCTCCTAATGCTGTACCTTTCCCTACCATTGTCTCTCTTAACCTTAACGTGCACGGTAATGAACACAACTTTGAACGATCGAAAACAATTCACGAACACTTAGCCGTATAAAACTGGACTAATTTTCTCGAACACCCTACTCATGAATTTTATTTATTTTTTCATTCACTTGTGCCTGCCATATCATCATCCGGCGGCTATAGAACCCCAACAGAATAGACTGTCTGCAAACATACTATCTTGTGTGTCGGTGTCGTGTTTAGCTCCTTCATTCTATTGTTAATAACAATAATGAAGAACAGAGGACCACGGAATGCCCCCTATGGCACACCAGATGTTATCACTACGAGTTCAGACAGTAGATTATTTACACGAACTTGTTGTGAAACCAAAAAATTTGAACAAACACAGTAGCGTTGAAATAGGAGACGTAACTGTTAATTTAAACCACTGAAGTATTAGAGGATAGTATACTTCACATTTCCATATTACTTTAGAAGATTAGAAATTCCTCAAAATAGCTTGCTCAGCAGTTAAAACAAAGAAGATGTTGGACATCCTTCTAATAATTCTACTATGAAAAATTTCTTAACTATTATTTTCAGAGATTCTTGTAAAGATAATGAGATTCTCACCGTATATATTGATTGATAACGTACCTTTGGTTAGTAATATTAACTCTTATACATCATTTTGATCATATGTCTCTCTTTTTTCTTTGTTGTATAGTAGTTATGTAAAATTGCAACATTTATTATTATTCTCGATTTATTTTAAGCTTAAAACTGACTGACTACATTTTCATAATAACAATGATGATCATCATGGATTTTAATTTTTGTTTTTATTCATTTACACAAAAGATGAACAAACAAACCACCTTTGTGTTAGAACTAGTAATATGTTCTCCTCATTAGAGATATTTTAT